TCAAGGAGCGGAACCCGCCTTTGGCCGAGGCGCTGCTGAGCGGAGACCTGGGTGAGGTGGGGGTTAACCTTTGGGTGGTGGTTCTGAACAAAAGGCAGCTGCGGGTGTTTAACTCGCTGGGATGTTTGCTGCCAGCTCCTTGTTGGCGCTGATAAAAGGTGCCAGTTGGGAATACTCAAGGCAGAGTTCCTTTCATAACAAGATCTTTCTGCTGAGTTGGGCGTATTTCTCCTGCTTTAATATCCTCAATCTCTTGCTTTGAAATATCAGCTGCACAGATGAGTCGCGTTTCTGTGAACACAAGTGGCTCAGCACCTGATTTTTCATAGAATCATAATCCCAGCCTGGTTTGGGTTGAAGGGACCTTAAAGCTCACACGGCTCCAACCCCCTGCCACAGGCAGGGACACCTTCCACTAGAGCAGGTTGCTCCAAGCCCCTGTGTCCAACCTGGCCTTGAACACTATGATTCTGTGATGATTTTGAGTGCAATTTAAGCCTAGTACCATGTCTTCTGCTTCCTCTGCAGTTGAGTAGCTGTGTTCATCCCTCATCCTTCATGTGATGAAAGGTTTGAACTCTTGTGTCCTTTCACTATTTAAACAGTGGTGGTGTGGGCATCAGCAGTTGTGCTTTCTGAACTGCTTCAAGACAGTTAGGAAATAAATCCTGTTGAGTCTGGGAAAACGAATCCTAGAATGGTTTGGGTTGGAAAGGACCTTAAGATCATCTAGTTCCAACCCCCCTGCCATGGACAGGGAATGAAGTGTCTTCTATCAGGAGACTTTTTTCCCCCTTTCAAGGTTACATCCTTGTGATTTCTCTGCCAAATAAAGCTAGAAAGGAGCTTGCATGAATATTCTTAGCCTGTTTCATTTCTTAATTCTGACTTTAGTTCATAGCCAGAGTTAAAACCACATCCCTTGTGAGAGCTGTGCCCGTAGTGCTGGTGTTTCTCCTTCACCTTGACAAGATGTGCTGTTCCTGGCACAGAAGATGAGAGGTTAAGCCCCAGACACCCAGAACTGGCTCCTCTGCTGATCTGTCTTGTCTTGTGCTTGTAAACTTTGACTTGGATGTGTGGGTTTAGTCCCAGATCGCCACAACAGGCTGTTAGAAGGATGGGGTTTGAGCTGGTCATGCTTGCCTTGTTCTGTACTGGCAGTGTTCGGGCACAGATCCAGTTCAGCTCTGGCTCTGATGCCCCAATACATGCATAGATTTGTACTGCAAGTGCTTTAGAAGGTACCTGCTATACAGAAGCCTAATTTAAAACATAAAAACCCAAACAAGTAAGAAAATACACCTAATGCCTTCATTAACATCTAACAGCCTCTGAGCCCACGAGCTTCTTCATGGGAACTGCATCTCTGGAAGCAAACCCACAGCCTTCTGTGTTTACAGAACTTAATTTATTGCCAAGTCCTTTTGGGAATGTGTGTGATCACATCCAAGTAGTAAAAAACAGCCAGAGGCTATCCAGAAAGTGGGGATCTAAAAACTGTGTTCTTAAAATGTGTACTTAAAACTTTGTGAAGTGGGTGTCTCACCTAGGACCTCTTGATTGCAGTGGTAGGTATTCAGCTGCAGGGATGATGATGTCTTTGCCTGTGTTGCTTGGGTTTAAAGTAGGTTTTGTAGTTAGCCTTCATTTTGCCTTGGCTCTTTGCTGGGTCCACAGGCTGCTCTTTTACTGGGAGCGCTGAGTGTAAAATATGACACATTTTGCAAGCTGTTCTCATGGATGGGCATCTTGCTGAGAGCTGTGAAACCTCCCTTCTATCTCTGAAGCTGTTTCAAGATACACGTGCACTCAAGCCTCTCATTTGAGTTGTGCACATTCTTAGTCCTAATTTCTGCTTCGGGTCTCATTTATCTGCTGGTTTTGCAGCTGTTTGGGTATTTTTGGCATACTGTGTAGGCAATTCTTGCTGCAGTAGAAGAATGAATTCCTGATTTAATGGCAGCTCTTTGGTTTAAATATTGTCTTCATGATTTTTTCCATATTTTGTCCATATAAAAATGTATGTGCAAGGAAACTGAGTCTGCTTGTGCCGAGTTTGGGTAGCAGACACAAGGAGAAAGAGCTCTGTCCAGTCACTTTTCATCTTAGTGGGTTCCCAAGTTTGGTCCTTTGAGGTCCATCCATGCTGCCTTCAGAGGAAGCCTTTTTTGCATGTGCTGTTGACTCTACCCCTGAGTGTGTGCTGGCATAAAAAGAAGAGTTTGCTGTGCCAGGCCTTGATTTGTGAGAGCAACTTCCAGTAAAAAGCATTTCTGTGTCTCCCTGTTACTGCAGAGAAATTCACCAGGGTGTTGCTGGAGCAGCAGCAGGACCGAGCCCGGCGGGAGCAGGAGAGGATCCGGCTCTATTCAGCTGACCCTTTTGATCTTGAGGCACAGGCCAAGATAGAAGAAGACATAAGGTAGGAAACCAAAGTCACTTGCAGGTTTTGGAGGTCTTCACAGTGGCTTTTTCCACAGTGTTCCTCCATCCATGGTGTGTTTTCCTTGGAGGATGCACAGAGTATGTTTAGATCCTGCCTTAAGACACGCATTTGCTTGGAAGGCAATGCTCTGAGCTGCCTTTGCACGTGGGAAGGTTGGGATTCAGGGACATGTGGGTGCACCCCATCCTTCAGAGGTATCCATTTGAGCACAGATCATGAGGTGGCAGTATCACTGTCCATGCATGTGATATCCCAGAGCTGCCTAAGCTGGTCCCCTTTGAAACAGGAGCAGAGATGCTCTGGTGAGGTGGTACCTGGGTGCCTCAGGCATATTTTGAACCTCGGGCTTGTGTTAGTCTCTAAGCTGAGCTCTGCACAGCAACGTGGTGCCATTTCTCCCAGCTGCCTTCCAGATTGGGTTTTGTGTACTGCTAATTGGTTTGTGTCTCTGGCGAATTCCAGACTCGGAACATTGCTGCTGTCAGAAGAGATGTTCTGTAGAAATATGTTCTGCTCATCAGCACTCGCTCCCTCTTGTTGTCTTCCAAGTGTAATTGCATTGGGCTGGGGCTTGAGTCTTAAACTGAGTGATAAATCCTTGAGTCAGATCACGACTGATGCTTTTTTCCCTCAACTGAGATGTGTGTTTCTGGTATAGACTGAGTTGGTCATAACCAAAATTTATTTGCAATAAGTCATTCTTGTGTTACAGCTGACAAGGTGTTGGTGCTGGATAAATGCTTCCAGGAAAACACACATTTGTAGGTAGCAAAACATTGCTTGAGGCACAGGAATGCTTTCCTCCTTCCATAGACAAGGGGACAGATAAAGGTGATATGCCCGAGGCCGTGCAGCTGTCCCCAGATTTCACACCTTGAACTCCTTGCTTCATTAGATGTGCTCTGCTCAGGACTGATTGGAGGCTGTGGCAAATGTCCTATTTGTTTTGAGACACATTTCTGCCCTTCATAGTATATCTTAGACAGTGTCAAGCACAGGGAAAACAGAGTAATGGATTTCACAAGAGGACAAACTGAAGACTAACCAGTATGTATCTGATGTAAGCTTAAATAATAGAAGACAGGACAATATGTGGCTCCTTGATTCATGAACACATGAAGCAGGGCATGCTGGCAGTAGGGTGCTTTAGCTCCCAAGTGAGCCAGGTCTCAGGGACCATTAGCTATTTATCCTTCACCACCAAGAAACCTCATCTCCCCATTGTTGGGGGAAGGCTTACCACAGCACAGAAGATGGGTAAGAGAGGAGCTTGGGGTTTTCCCCTTCCCCTACTGAGGAGTTAAAATGAAATGGCATCAAAATTGGAAGCCCTTTTTGGTAGATGAAGCTATTTCGGATGCAGTCGCTACAAATACCCATCACTTCCAAGATTACTTCTGGGGCTGTGGTGGATTTCTGGAAGTAAGTTTCTTCTATAGGCTTGAATTTGCACCAGGGGTTTGTGCTCATGGTGGTGTTTCTCACTGCAGTTTTGCTCACCTCCCTCCCCTCCTGTGCCTGGAAAAGAAAAGATACCAGGGAAACGTTGGAGGATTTGAACGTTCAGCTGCTGTGTGGGATTCCAGCATTGTAGCTACTGGCAACATCATCATCGTGTGCCCTCAGTGCTTTATTTTAGAGTGATAAACACACAGGTTTTTTGCTCACAGGTTCTCCAGGTTAACTCTGTGGTGGTGGGTTTCTGTTTCAAACAGAAGGTTGTCAGGAGCTGTAGGGTGAGTTAGGCAGGGTGTTGGAAGGAGCAGTCTTCATGGCTCTGGATCAATTATTGGCTCTGGTCATTACTAGCAACCCCTCTGCTGGGAAGCCTACATGTAGCTAATGAAGCAGTCCCCGGTGTGCTTTGAGTGTGCTGTTTGTAAGGTGAGCTGCAGTGGGTGGGATTACTGGGTCTGTAAGTCAGAGGGATGCTTGTAAGGTTCAGCTGATGGACAGGCTGATTCTTCTCTCTTTTCTCCATTAAATTCAGGCAACAAAACATTGAAGAAAATATGACGATAGCAATGGAAGAGGCTCCTGAGAGCTTTGGGCAGGTGGTGATGTTGTACATTAACTGCAAAGTCAACGGACATCCAGTGAAAGCCTTTGTTGACTCAGGTGAACTGACTCATTCTCATCTCTTTGTGCTCTCCTTTCTCTCACTGAGGGAGACAGCAATCGTTCCAGAATCATTGCCTAAAATATTCCATACTAAAGCACTGTGTTGTAAGATTCTGAAGCATCTAATTAAAACCTGAGAGCAGCCTGGGCATTGTATAAGGCAAAATCGTTGAGAGAAGCAGCACACAAGTACTTGAGCCCCTCAGACCAAGGCTCCTGTGAGAATTTCTGGGCTCCAATGCCAGAACGGTCCCTGCCACGTGTCTGCCTTATCTCATTTTACAGATGGGGGGATTACACGTGCCTTTATGTAGTGCTTCCCATCTACAGCCTTAAAGGGAAAGTACTTGGGGTTATTCCAGCTTTCCAGTAATAATGCTGTGTGTATACAGTCAGTTCAACACAGTGGGATTCACAGGAAGCCTTTACACCCCAGTGCAGTTGCCTGATGCAGGCAGGTCGCTTTCCCAGCTGCTGAGTGCAAGATCTTCAGCCCTTCTAGGGGAGAATTTGAATCTGTGATGAGGTCTCAGTTTAACACCAGTTCTGTTGCTGGTAGGTGCCCAGATGACCATCATGAGCCAAGCTTGTGCTGAAAGGTGCAACATCATGAGGCTGGTAGATCGACGATGGGCTGGCATTGCTAAAGGTGTAGGGACACAGAAAATCATTGGCAGAGTGCACTTAGGTAAGTGCTGGCATCCTGCTGGGGGCAGCTTCAGCAGCAGTGTGACTGCATTTCCCGCAACCTTGGCACCAAGAGGATCTGCTTTAATGCTATAATTGTTAGAAACTCCCACAGAGTAAAATAAAAGTGCATCTGCAGAGTGTTTGCTTGTCTCAGGAAAAGCTTCTGTCTCGTTTAATGCTTTTTTAATGGAATTACCTTAACGATTTTAGGTGAGGGAGCCCTCAGCTCCTGCAGACAGAGAGGATGTGTTCTCTCTGGGTGCAAAAAACAAGGCTAATGTCTTTGGGGTGGGACTGCTGGGCAGTATGAGTTGCTCAGGAGGGGCTCCAGTACAGTGGAGTGTGTTTTGTATTCCTTTGGGAAGAGAAGATTGGCTGTGCTCTTGTGCACTTTTTCTGGGTGAGAGAAGATTGTCCTTATTGTCTGAAAAATAATTGTCTTCACTGTGCAGCTCCTCAGGCTTGGAGGGTTAGATGAGCAGTATATCAGGGTCTAGAGCAGGTCAGCCCTTAACTAACTTCTTGAGAGCAAGGCAGGCCTGGGGCTTGCGCAGGGCCAGATGTTCAGTGACCAAAATGGTATGTCAGAGCTCTGGTTTCAGATGTGCCAGGAGCAGACCTTGCCCAGAAGGTGGAAGAGCTGGGAATAGATTTATTGCATTGTAGCATTGCAAGGAGGTAAATTCTCTTCCTTACATTCCAGCTCAGGTCCAGATTGAAGGGGATTTCCTGGCATGTTCCTTCTCAATCCTTGAAGAGCAGCCCATGGACATGCTTCTAGGACTGGATATGCTTAAGAGGCATCAGGTATCAGAACCTCATAGAAACATAAAATCCTGGAATGGTTTGTGTGGGAAGGGACCTTAAAGCTCCTCCAGCTTCAACCCCTGCCATGGGCAGGGACACCTTCCACTAGAGCAGGCTGCTCCAAGCCCCTGTGTCCAACCTGGCCTTGAACACTGCCAGGGATGGGGCAGCCACAGCTTCTCTGGGCACCCTGTGCCAGCGCCTCAGCACCCTCACAGGGAAGAGCTTCTGCCTCAGAGCTCATCTCAATCTCCCCTCTGGCAGGTTCAAGCCATTCCCCTTGGCCTGTCCCTACAGGCCCTTGTCCAAAGCCCCTCTCCAGGTTTCCTGGAGCCCCTTTAGGCACTGGAGCTGCTCTAAGGTGTCCCCTTGAGGAGCCTTCTCTTCTCCAGCTGCCCCAGCCCAGCTCTCTCAGCCTGGCTCCAGAGCAGAGTGGCTCCAGTTCCTAACCTCTTTGGAAGCAGTTACTGGCTCTTCCAAGTTCAGTGCTAAATGCAACAGAAATGCTTTCCTTGCCTATGAATGTATTAGGATTTTTCTGCGGAGAGTTGGTGGTGGATTATCTTCCGGCCAGTTATGGAGTACATACACTTCATACGTCATAGATAGCTGGAGCATGTCTGGCTGCTCCCTGAAGTTTTTTTGCTCTGATTGAAGATTCTCAGAGCTTTCCAACTAAATGATTTATTACAAAGCAGGTCACAAGGGGCCCTTTGCTTAAGCTGATGCTCTTGGCCCACAATTAGCTACTGTGAGCTCTTCCCATTGGAAACGGATTGTTTAACCTTGTTTCTCCTTTTTCTCCGGGAACGAAATGGCTCTTACCCAGGCCCCTGATGTCTCGATGCTCTTTCACAGTGCTCCATTGATCTCAAGAAGAATGTACTGGTGATTGGCACGACGGGCTCACAGACCACGTTCCTCCCAGAGGGCGAGCTCCCGGAGTGCGCCCGGCTGGCGTATGGGGCTGGGCGGGAGGACATGCGGCCGGAGGAGATTGCAGACCAGGAACTAGCAGAAGCAATACAGAAATCCGTAGAGGAAGCAGGTACCAGGAGCAGCTCAGTTGAAATATTGATCTGCATAGTTCCCTTGCTGCGTGTCAGGATGCTTGTAAGCAGTTCCCCCTTCTCAGCACCTAAGAGAGAGAGTCTAATGCAGCATCATTGAGTAAACGGTGGAGAGGAAGGGGCTTTGTTCTTGCTCGTTGCCTCTAACTGCACTTCTCTCTTCCTTTCTGTACAGTGAAACTGCATGAAGGCATTTGGAGGTGCTTGCTGTTTAATTTGTGCTCTCCTTGCAACTTCCTACCTGCCCTGGCTTCTTGGCCTTCGAAGGTGTGGAAAGAAATGATTGTCTCTGGCACCAGTTGTAGTGCCTAGGCAGGGACGTGGCTCAGTTGGGTGATATTTCAGCAGCCTCATGTAAAGACAGCTTTGTGGGGGCTTCCACAAGTACTCTTAATAGCTGCAGCATGTAAAAATAGAGGAGCTGAAGCAGTAAGAGCAAATCTCTGGACCAAAGATGACAATTTTTAGAACTAGTACTGTTTCAGCATTTTTCCTTAGAGTGGTGCTTGTGCCCTTGGAAGGTGAATTGCTTCAATTACTGAGGCTGCTGTTGCTCTGAATTTCAAAAGCAGCAGCTGAATTCACATCCTGATGTGTATCTGCAAAGAGCATTTTCACCCTCTGCATAGTTATGTTCCCTGTGCCTCTGGAATCCATGAGCTGCACAAACGAAGCCTGACTCTAGGCTATGGGAAGATTTTGGTAGCTGCAAAATGTAAAGTGGAGATGCCAAAAGAGCTGAAAGCTGTGACCTAAAGTGTCTGTTTAACTCCTCCCTTCATTCCAGCATAGGCTTTTGACTAAAGGAAAGCTTCATTATTTTTGTTCCCTGCTATTACATGAAGCTGTGAACACAAAGTGTATTCCTTAGGCCTTTTCCAAAACCTTTAAAGATAACATTTTACATGCAAGTGTCTTCTAGAGACTTTTGAGTTTTACTGTTGATTGTCCCTCTGAAAGCACACAGTGAGATTCTGCTTCCCACACACGTGCAAAACTTTGCTGGGTCATGTTTGAGCTGATCAATTTGATTTCTTCAACGTTTTTATTGCTGGTTTTTGAAGACTCTAGCATGCCCATAGGTAAAATTGAAGTGTGATAACCAGATTTAACCATATATATATGGTAAAATAGATATAAATATATATTTATA